ACCGATTGTTTCTCCGGACCAAATGGGTCGGTCCTTTGGCATTAAATGCCTGGTTTCCTCGGTCTCAACTCCGGTTAATATTTACTTTTAACCTAATTACGCTTGATAATGAAGAAGTTAACTCAGTAACTATACCTTATTAATATATCAAATCAAACTTTTTATTCTTTATTCCCTAATGCTATCACAATCTACTTAACCTAATGAGCCAATAAAAAAAATTCTTATGAATAATTTGAATTTAGTTAATTGATAACTCAATAATCAATTTTATTACATAGCAAGAGGATTTTCTTTTGTGTGTTTTTTTGACTAATTTGAGCTTGACTTGTTTCGAATCTATAATATTATACCCCCGAGTTGAATAGTCGCTCTCTAATTATTACTTTTCTTCGATAATATATAGGGACAGAATATATGAAGAACGAGTAGGCTTCGTTAATCTAAGAAGAGTTACCATATATTATTGAAGATTTGAGTAATGAACGACTATTTTAAAGGCTAATGAATGTCGAGTAGACTTGATTAGGTTATTAAAGTTTTAAGTACTGAGCAAATATTTAAACAGCTATCGAAAAAATCCACCAAAAATAAAGAAAGAAGAAGAAGAAGAATGGGGTGGGGTGGGGGTGGATGGGGTAAGGAGAAATCGTTTAATGCAAGGAAACATTAGAAAAATCCGCGGGGGACCAACCTGTTGTCCAGAAAAGCACCTTGCAAAAGTCTATTCAGTCTTCACACTTCAAAACCCCAATAACCAAACTCTCTCTCTCTCTCTCTCTCTCTTTCTCTCTATTCTGTATATCAGCCCACCTATAATAGTGGAGAATAACATCAGATAAGAATCTAAGCTTTTGATGAAAATCTATGGAGAAGAAACAAGAGGAGGAGCTAAGAACAGAATTATACTCAACAATTTCAGATCAGATGTTGATTCCAACATCCTTTTCTATGACAAATATTTCTGATTATTCCGGCATGCCACGTGAATTTGATCAAAAGGGCTTTTTAGGGTTCTTTGACGTTCAAGATTTTACTAGCCAATCTACTTTCGATTTGCTGCAGACTCCCTCCTTGCCACCACAGTTTATGCAGCAGCCTCTACCTTCACCGGTGGCTGACTCTGCTGAGGGGGTCAACACTCCGGTGACACCAAATTCATCGTCTTTTACCTCATCGTCAAACGAAGCTGCCAATGATGATAGACAGATCAAAACTATTGAAGAAGTAGAACAAGATCAAGAAAAGACTAAGAAACAGTAATCTTTTCTTTCATTTTTGTGTGTAAAGTAGTAAAGTTCTCATTTTTTTACGTTTTTACTTTTACTTTAATAGTGTGAACTTGAACATTCAAAGGAAGATCTTGATTAATGGGTTTCTGTATGCACGATCTCACAAAGTGTTTGATACTCATAATTTTGTTCTCTAGCTTTATTCTTGTTATGAGCAAAAAAGGATGATTTTTATTATGTGTGCCTTTAGGTTGAATCCCAAAAAGAAGAACCATAAAAGGCAAAGAGAACCCAGATTTGCTTTCATGACAAAGACTGAGGTTGATAACTTGGATGATGGCTATAGATGGAGAAAATACGGACAAAAAGCAGTGAAAAACAGCCCTTTTCCAAGGTATATTCACACGAACAAAACAAAAATATTTATATTCTTGTGAGTTTGTATCTATTATTCACTTTTCACTTATAAGTTGTAATGATTTGGTTTATTTTAGTAAGTTTCTTTTATGGAATCATGCAATATATGTTTGTGCAGGAGCTACTACCGTTGCACTAATGCATCATGTGGTGTGAAGAAGAGAGTTGAAAGATCATCTGAAGATTCATCCGTAGTTGTCACAACCTATGAGGGTACCCACACACATCCATGTCCAATAATGCCTCGTGGAAGCTTTGGAATTATGCCGGAAACCACCACTTTTGGTGGCGGTGGAGGTGATGGTGGAGGAAGTACTTCCTCTTTTATTGTCCCACAAATGCAGCATTATCGACAACAACAACAACCTTATTTCCATAGCTTGATGACACCACCACCTTTGATGAATTTTGGCACTAATTGTAATTCTTCATTCCATCAAGAAAGAACATTTCGTCCCTCTTCGTTTACTCTGGTTAGAGATGATGGGCTTCTTCAAGACATGGTGCCATCCCAGATGCTCAAGGATTCAAAAAAGGAGTAATAAGTGTTAATTTACCTGCTATCAATTGGTATGTGCGACTAATCATATGATTATTAAGGTTCTTTATTACATAATGACTCCCAAATTATGATGTAAAATGGCTAGATTTTAGCTTATGGATAGACTAGTACTTTTCTCTATGACTAATTGACTTTTGTTATTTCCTGTACTTAAGAAGTTAAAATTCTATTATATAAAGAGATTTTGGGTATATACTTTTGTATATTGTAGTTTCACCCATTTAAATTTTTAGGTATTCATTTTTCTCCTTTTTCCATTTGTTCCTCCTTTTTGAGTGCAACGTGTATGCATATTAGGGTTAGGGTTTTCTCATGTTTGCTGGCAGTTTTCAAATTTCTTCATTGTGGTAACTTCAAGG